GGCGCGCCCGGACCCTGTGGCCTCGCCCCGACGGCCGCTCCACCCCCAGGCAGCCGGGCCGCCCGGAGCCCTCGAGGATGGAGGTCCTGGACGAGTTCGACAGTGAGTTCCCCCCGAGTGTGACCTTCTGCCAGCTCATCTCTGAGGAGGACTTCGAGAGGCAGGCTGCGACCTACACGGAGCGCGCGCTGCGCCGCCTCTTCCGCAGCATCGACCGCAACCCGGCGCTGGCCGAGAGGGTGGTGCGCAAGGGCAAGCAGGCCGAGTGCGAGCGGCGCGGGTTCCTCTCCTTCCTCTGGGTGCGGGCCGGCGGGGCGGGCCCGGGGGGCGCAGCTCTGGGGATCCGAGATGCGGGCGGGGGCACTGTCCGGCCAGCCTGGTCTCCTAGGTAGGGTCTTCCCGGAGGTGGCAGCGTGGGGAGGGCAGCGTGCAGGCCAGGCGGCTCACGCGTCCGGCTTCCTCCCTCCTCGCGTCTCCCGCTGTGGTCGCAGGCCAAGCTCTCCTGCGCCGTCCAGGGGGATATGAACTGTTGCAACAGCATGGGCGCCCGGGAGATGCACCAGCGCCTGGAGCAGCTGAAGAGGGGCATCCACCGCGTGCACCTCTACTCGCAGGGTGAGGCCCCGCCTGCGCTGGGCTCTGCACCTGGCAGACCCGACTCAGGTCCCGTCGATGGTCCATAGAAGTCTTCACTTCATCAGTCAGGCCCTCCTGAGAGCCACACATTGCGTGCTAGGCCTCTTCGATTCCTTTTCACTAGGGGGACTGTATAACTCGTGTCCACACTGGGACACATGAGAGTGAAATGAAAGGGGGCTGCATCGGTGGCCACACAGGGATGACAAATGAGGATCCTGACCAGGTTTATTGAAGTCCCCTTTGGGTGGGATGCCCTAGCGTTTCCCCGATACCATTGGCTAAAGGACCGTGTTGTCCCCTTTGATGGGTTTGCGTCTTGTTGTCATGGTCTGCCAGTGTGTTTGCTTTGTCCTCTCCCTGTGTTTCTCGGACAGTTGCTCTAAAGCCTTGATCAGGTTTGGGTGTGGTCAGAGGAGTGCGATGGTGGTGGGCTCCTTTGTTCCACATCACCTGGGGGGCCTAGCTCGTTTGTGGGGTGTGGTGTTATTTATCCCTGTTTTAGGGAAGAGGTCCAAGGGGGTTGTCCAACATGAGAAGGTCACACAGAAATGGAGCTTAGGGGGAGGGTATAGCTCAGTGGTAGAGCTCGTGCTTAGCATATACGAAGTCGTGGGTTCAATCCTCATTCCCTCCATTAAATAAATAAACCTAATACTCCCCCCAAAAAAACCCCCAAAAGCTAGCAATAGAAGTGGAGGAACTAGACTGGGACTCAGAGTGGGGTTGCTCCAGGCACAGGTGCTTAGCCTCCAGCCGGTGCCCCCTGGTAGTACTGATCTCATTCCAGATGAGGGGCTGCAGGAGGAGCTTAACACCCACTTTGCTGGCGGTCTCCAGCTCTGAACAGTAGAAATGCTCAGACTCCTTGGCACAGGAGAGTAAAGGGGGCAGGCCCCAGGTCCCGGAGGGGACCTGAGCCCACCTCCACAAGACTTCCTCCTTGCGCACCCCCAAGATGACCTGGGGCTGGGTGCAGTTGGTGGGCTCACTGTCCAGGGCCTGGATCCCCACAGGGGTGCTGATGGACTTAAATGCTTGGCCCGGGGGGTTGGCAGACCGACCTACTCAGGCCAAGGCCAGCCCTCCTTGGCAGTGACACTCCATCACTTCCCATGAAATTCTGCCCTGATAGTCAGCCCGGTATGGACCCTGCCTATGCCTGGGACATTCCAGCTTCCCGGTCCACCTGTAAGACAGAGACAATAGTACCCTTTCCCTGTAGTGTGGTGGTGGAGTCAGTGAGAGGGTGCACCAGGGTGCCTGTCAAGGGCGGCCTTAGGCATTGGTGCACTTCTTGGGGCTGCCTTTCCTCCCTATTGGAGGGACTGAGTTTGGCCCAACTCAACCTGTTCTGGCCTCGGGGTCGACATTCACTGACACCTTTTGTCCCAGATGCCAAGAAGAAGAGAAGGAAGCCAAAACCGAAGAAATCAGAACCCATCCTCTTGAGAGACCGGTCAACCTCCCCGTGCCTGCCACCAACCTTGCCACCTCCACCACTGCCACCACCTGCCACCACCATGGCCTCCATGGTGGCCCCATCATCCCCTGTCTACACTATGCCCAGGGTCTTTGGCCCCTTCCCTCCACTGCCCAGCACATCGGTCAGTGGCCCTTGGAGAGGCAGGAAGCAGCCCAGCTCCTCTTCCAGGCCCACAGCAGTGGCTTCCAGAACTTTCTGTTTAAGCCACAGAACTCTCTGCAGGCAGCAGTTGATAAGCAGATGGAAAGGGGCTGCTCTCCTTGAAGGGTTGGGGTGGAGGGAGGCACAGAGCTCCACCTGCTTGGCCCCAGTGCCCTGGGTGGAAGCCTGGGGCCCCCATCTCCAGCCTGATGCCTGCTTCTCCCCATGGGTGTCATTCTCAGTGCTGTCCTCTGAGGGCCCCTGCAGTGCTATCCCTGCCCGCCTGCCCCTCCTGACTCCCCCTTACCCTACACCTGTCCCCCAGGCTGGGTTAAGACCTCCTCCCTTGGCTCCCAGCCCCCATCCTGTGCCCTGTGCCCCAACACCCAGCTCTAGGTGGGCACTGAGAATGAGCCTGGTGTGTTTGCTGATTGACAGAAACATACGTCATTCTCCTAGTTCCTGGAGAAGGTGTTTTTCTTCATGGCGAGGACCCCAAACTTGTCCTGAAATTTCCTTTGTTTCCTGAAGGTGGAGAAACTGGAAGTTTCAAGGTCTGAAGTGAAATTAAATTGGACTGGCCTCTCATCAAACCCAAAGAGGTGAAAAGAATTTATTCTGGGCTAGAGGCAAATGAAAAGGGAGTGTTTGGGGGAACTGGCTGTGCACCAGACTTGGCTGTGACCCCCCCACCTCTTGATCGATTTTCCCTACAATCCCAAGTGGTCCTTCCTCATCATCCCAGGAGGGATCCAGGGTCAGAGGCTGCCTAGTGTGCAGAGTCCCTGTGCCTGTGTCAGAGGCATGCCCCTGAGGCTGGGGAGGGCCTCCGGAGGAGCCCAGAGCTGATGTGTGTCCCCTGCCTGCCCTGTCTTGCAGCCACATGGTTGATCTGACCCCCTTGGTCCTCAATCCTGGAGGCTTCCACTTCTCGTACCTGGCCAGGAACAGTGCTCACAAGCTCCACTGCCAGGGTGTCCCCTGGTAAGTGTGCCTCCCAGCATCCTTGCTGGAGGGATGTCTGTGTGATAGTCCCTGCTACCTCTGGGAAGGACCCTAATGTAATCAGGGTGCTGCAAACTTACTCCCCTTTCCTAGTGTTTGTGATGGTGAGAAACCAGAAACAGCCCAGAGACCAACAGAAAGGGAATGATTCTGTCAGCTGTGGGCAGCCCTGTGATTTATCTACACATGTGTTTTGCAAAGCAGGGATTTACTGAATATGGGGGGTTCTTATCACCTGTTTTTTTTGACTTATGTTTGTCAAGTATTTCCCATGTCATTGACTCTTTAGACTTGTCTGCTTCATTGCATCAGATGACTTTTTTGTTAGAGAGGAAGATTATTTTTTTTGGAGGGGTAAGTAATTAGGTTTAGTTATTTATTGTTATTTTTAATGGAGGGACTGGGGATTGAACTCAGGACCTCATACATGCTTAGCATGCACTCTACGACTGAACCACGCCCTTCCCGCAACCCAGATGACTTTTTTAAAAATAGCTTTACTGAGGTATTCACATGGCATGTAATTAATCCGTTTAAAGTATATAAGTCTGTGTTTTTGGTATATTCAGAGTTATGAAACCATCACCACAATCAATAGCACACTTTTGTCACACTACCATTCTTCAGATTCTAAAACAGTATATATTTACTGTAGACAATCTGAAACTGACACAAAACAGACACCAGTCTTACTCCCATGGTTGGAAGTAACCACATTGGCACGTATTTGTGTTTTGCTGTTGGCTTTTCCCATGGACCCGCATGTGTGTGTGTGCGTGTGTGTGCACATAGTAGTTTGTTACTTAATCAGGAGCACCCTGGTGGGCAGCTTTGCAGGCAGCTCTGGAATCTGTTGCTTTCCCGGTCATTAAAATTACCTATAAATTCACCAATAGTTACAGGTGCAGAGTATCCCATCCCAGGTGTTGATGGGGTATCATTTACTCCACTTCTCTTGGCTTGTTGAAATATTTCACTAATGGGGACAATTTTCAGCCTCCTGTTATATATTGCCTTTTTTAAAATTTTTAAAAAATTGAAGTATAGTCGATTTACAACATTGTGTTAATTTCAGGTGTACAGCAAAGTGATTCAGTCATACATGTACATATATCTATTATTTTTCAGGTTCTTTCCACTATAGATTATTACAAGATATTGAATATCGTTCCCTGTGCTATACAGTATTTTTAAAAAACATTTCCATTGTGCTTTTTATTTTTTATTTTTGGAGGGGTTGGTGTTAATTAGATATATTTATTTTTAATGGAGGTACTGGGGATTGAACCTAGGACCCTGTGCATGCTAAGTACGCACTGTATCACTGAGCTATACCCTTCCCCTACTGTATTGCTTTCTGAGTGAGCTCTGCTGTCTTGGTTCCATCACTAAAAATGTGTTATTTTAAATTGTTTATTTAAAAGTTTACAAAAGCGGAACATAGCCTATGGAAAAAAGCTCACAATATAGAAATGAATACATAAAATATAACAGTCCTCTGCTGCTGAGTCCTGCTGCTAAGAGTTTAACATGTACCTTCCAAAACACAGATACACAAATATGCTGGCTAATTTTTTCATCAGGGCAGGCTCATAATGCATGTACTTCTCAGCAACTTGCTTTTTTCTATTACTGCACGTTGGGATGTCTTTACTTGTTGGGATGTACATTCCTTAGTCTGCTGCAGAATAGTCCACTGTGTGGCTGCACCTTGGTTCTTTTCACCCGTCCCTGATGGACGTTTAGATTGCTTCCGGATTCTCACAATCACAAACATTGCCGCAAGGAACCGCCTTGACCAAACATTGGTGGAGGGACTTTGGTAGTAGATACATATTGAGAGCCATCCCACAGCCTGGGTTTCATCGAGTGCACCTCTGATGGCCCTGGGTGTTGCGTCCCACCTAATGGATGTGTCTTACCCGTCTCCTGCAAAGGACCTCTGCCTGTAGTGGCTTCCCCAACAGCGAGGAGATGCCCTCCCCTTCTGTGAAGGCCTCCATCTTCACCCCGCCTGTCCTGATCAAGTTCCAGCCTATACCCAGACCCAAAGAAGACTCAGAGAATGACCCTGGCAGTGCAGAGTCCGTGCCCCACCAGAGGGATCCGTAACATCTTTGGTGCAGACCACAGCCGGAGAAATGAATAAAGTTCCCCTGGAGGTGCCTTCCTCATACCACGCTCCCCAGGGGCTGTGCATTTGTGTGGTCTCTCCCATCTTCGGCCTGAGCCTGCACACAGTAGGTGGTCAGGTCAGCGAGACTGGAAAGTGTCCTTTCTTGCACCTAACACGGGAACTGAGCCCTGTGCACTTTGAAAGAGGGTTAAGTGAGGGAGTGAGCCACCACTCCCTGCAGCGCCTCTGTGGCTCCTTTGGGTTTCACTTGACCTCATTGAGTTACAAGTGTACTTTTTTTTGCTATAACTGGCCCCTGGGCACAAGCTTTATCTGGGTGCAGATTTAGAAACTCTGTTCCCTCCTTGGAGGAAAATGAGCTGTTCAGTTTCCAACTTGGCACCTCCCTAAAGAATTTCAGAGACACGTGACTCTGATCGCCTCCCACGCTGGCCCTGGAATCCAACCTGCATGTGAGACATGAGTTCTCACTGAGTGCCTGATGACGCTGGACGCTAGCAGGTATTTGTTGAGCTCTTGTGTACGCCCTGCATCTTGTTTGGGACTGGAGATAACAGGCCAAGCAGTTGTGGTCCCTGCCCTCAAGGAACTTATGTCCATCCTCCAGCATATGTTTGTGTGTGTGTGTGTAGTAAGCTAGTACATAGATCAAGGTAGTACAGGATTACAAATTGTGATAAGCCCTTGTGGGAGCTGAGATGGAGATGTATGGCGTGGTGGTCAGGGACTGGCTTTGGGTGACTGGGTGGATAGTGGTCCCTTGAGAAGCCTGGAAATTAGGGGTACAGAAGGGTCGGAGAATTCTTTTACCAGACGTCAAATTTGAGATCAGTTGGCGCCCAAGTGGCGGTCAGGAGCACTGGCAATTTAGTGGTAGGAGTCAAGGGATACAAGTGTTTAATGTGAAGCCACGAGCCTGGGCAAGGTCACCTTGTGCTTGAGTGCAGAGGGAGCCGGGCAGTAGGCGAGGCAGTCGACAGAGAGGCCCCGGGAAGATAGGGCTTCCGAGAGGAGGCAGCTCAACCCGACAGGGCGGAACCGACTGAGTCCTCAGCCCAGGCTCCCAGAGTCCTGCTGCGCTCGCCGGGCATGCGCGCCGGCCCCAGAGACCACGGCTCCCGGCATGCCAAGCGCTCGCTTCCGGGGCGGGACCCGGAAGTGGCTACGGAGCTCGGCCGAGGAGCCGAGCTTGGAGTTATCTGCCGTCGTTTTTTCGCGTTTGCTGGTCCCGCCGCCGCCTCCGCCGCCGCCATGGGGAAGCGACAGCACCAGAAGGATAAGATGTAAGCCGAGCCGCCGGGAGCGGGCCTCGTCGGTCTCAGTCCCCGCCTGGCCGCAGTCTGCGCCGCGCCCCCTCAGCGTCGCCTCTCCCGGAAGCCCCCGCCCTTGGCGGCGGGGTGGCTCCTCCCGGTGGGGGGGCCTTTGCGGTCCCCGACCCGCGCGCGGCCCCTCCCCGTGCG